TGGAGAGTCCCGACTCAACAGTGGCAAATGTGGGTCCTTGTAGCCCGCGATCACGATACGAGCCTTAGGTTTGAAGGTACCGTCACCACGCGGCTTCCACCTGAAGCACACTCTCGATTTGAGGATCAGGGCCGGGTCGATCTTGTTCACGTCGACATAGAGTGGCCGGCAGCTCGACCATTTCTTCCACTCGGACCACTCATCCAACACAGCCTGTATAAACTGCGGCACCTCTTGCTCGCTCATTGCTTGCCAAGGGAGTTCTTTTTTCAGAGCTTGGCGTTGAGCACGAGAAGGAGGTTCAACACCAGATGCGTCGTCGCCTTCCTCGCCGGATGTATCCATGGCCATTGTTTCGCCATCAGCAGGTGGTCTCCAGGCTCTCGTCGGATAAGCCTCGGACACCGGCGCATCCAGCCAAGCAGGTCGCTCCAAAGGCCATTGATCTACCACAGCTTGCCAAGAGGTACAAGGCGTTGAAGATGTAACCATCCCCAACTTGCGAAGCTTCCTCCTGATGCCTTGGTGGCAGAACTGAAAGGACCGAGAGGTGAAGGCCACGATGCTGTAACGCTCGCCCTCAAAGGGTTGAACTTCGTGGAGACATTCTGGTCGAAAGGCCATGACTTGATTCCGGGTGTCGACGAGGAAGCCAGGCACCTTCTTGCCGTTGATGTTCTTGTACGTGGCGCCAGGAGGTGGTTTGGCATCCTTGCACTCCACCCACAGATGTCCTCCACGGTAGTTGCCCACGGAGGTTGCCCAGTTGAGGCTGCCTGGCAAATTGTTGGAGTCCTTGTGGCATGTGGCTCTGCCATTGCGGGAAACGTAGAAAGAAGTCACATTTCCTTGTAGGCCATGATGACGAAAGTACTGTGCCAGGTAGCCAGTCAAGCGCTTGTTCGTGAAAGTGTTGTTCGTAAGGCCGCTGAAACCGCCATGAGAGTACAGCCCCAGAAGAAAGCCACCACCGTTGCCTTCAAAGCAGTTCCGATTGTTCTTTGGGATCTTGACGGCGTCGAGCAGCTGGTGGAGTGTCTCGGGCTTGAAGTCCTTGTGCTCGCAGAGTTGCTGCGCCAGGATCTCAGAAGCGGGCAGCTTCTCTGTGGCCACGAGGTTGGCTGAAGAGGAGGGACCAACATCAGGTCCATCAAGGAGAAGTGAGGCCTGGGGACTTGAGTGATCCCCAAAGTAGTGGGCCGCCGTCAGGTAGGCATTTGATACGAAGTAGGGTTGCATCTCAGAGGGACTGCCGTCCCATCCCACCTTGTATGCCTCTGCTCTTCCATGTCGTCGCAGCACATCCAGTCGCTGTAGGGGTCGATGAAACTTGGGGAAGGTAGCGCAGACCGCATTTGCGGTGGCCTCAAAAGTGGTGAATTCGTTGTCTTCGGGAATTGAGGTCGGTTCTGCTTCGCGTCCGGGAGTGAGCATGTGGTAATCCTCGAAGTGCTGCTCCACTGCCTCACGCTCTTTGACCTCATCAAACCATGACAACACATGCATAGGCGAAGACACTGTACGGGTACTTGAGCATCTCGAGCAAGTACTGACGCCGTCCAGCAAGACACGATGTTGTTCACCGCATTCCTGACAGAAGTTGAGCAATGCCTGGGCATCAGTTTCTTGGGACATCACAGGTGGCTGACGCCGCGTAGCTGTCGCCGGGGCATCCAGGGATTCCAAGGAAGAAGCTGGGGGCCGCTTGGTGCCACGTGAGGATCCCTGAGAAGACACCTGCTCCATAAGCTGTTCAAGACCACGCTGAAGATCTGATGTGCCTTGAGAGGTGTGTCGTGGGAAAGAAGAGTCCTGTGACACCTGTCGTGAAGCTGATGCAGAGGCACCAGACTGTGTCCTGAGCTCAGTCGCGGAATGGCGTGGTTCTGAAGAAGATGCCCTCTGTTCTGAAGTAAGCGGCTGTGGTTCTGAAGGTGATGCCCTCGGTTGTGACGACAGCGGTTGTGGTTCTGAAGGTGATGCCCTCTGTTCTGCTGAAGACAGTGGTTTTGGTTCTGAGGGTGACGCCGTTTGTTCTGGAGGTGCCAAGGCCTGAGTCTCGGGCACCGCGTCCAGCACTCTCGACGGCGTCCTGCTTCTAGGTCGACTGCGAGGCCTAGGCGTACCAGGCGCTGACCTTTGTGTCTGCGGGGCCTTGGGAGTGGCAGGAACCATCTGTAGCGGCGCCAACATCGGAGGAGCCGGGGTCGAAGGAGTCGGACGTCCAGAAGCATCAAGAAGAGGCCGACCAGCGCCGTCTAACGCCGGCAAAGGTGCCGGCTCATTTAACGCCAGCTGCAGGTCGTCCACCGCCTGCAAGTCAGACAATTCCGAAGGCACCGCACCCTCCGGAACGCGGAAAGCCAAAGTCGAAGTCGAAGGCCCGAGAGTAGGCCCAGCAGCGGCCGAGGCGGAGTGCTTGTCAGACAAGTCCTGGTCAGCATTTTTCAAGAGGCGTAAGTCCTCAGGACTGGGAGTCCACCACTCCTCCTCGCCGCCCACAGAACGAACCTGTTCCTTGCTGGCAGAGATGAGGCGACCGCGGGTGTTGCGAATCCATAAAGTACTGCCATCAATTGCCACCACGACGCCCTGGCGGTAGCCTTCCAACGTGCCCTCACCATCAGCAGAGTTACGCAAGCGGTAGTACGCGATCTTCTGCCCTATCTCGAAAGGACCACGAGCGGGTCGAGGCTTACGAAGAAGAGCAGTGCGGAGGGCGTTGTCGGACTCGAACTGATGGTACAGCATCATGGACTGGGTCCGCACCTGCTCGATGTGGCGAAGACGCTCGGAGTCCGTGTGTAGCTGGCACGACTCCACATTTCCACCAGATGACAAGAGCGCACCAGGGATTTTGTGGTTGCGACCGTACACCCATTGGGCCGGCGAAGAGCCTGCCCGTCGCATCAAGTTGTTCTTGGCGGCAGCAGCCAGGGTCACCAGCATATTGAGTTCCTGGGCACCCACGGGGGCGAACTGGGAAACTAGCCTCTGCACAATGTACTTGATAGCTTGGCCATGCCGCTCGGCACGTCCCATCTGGTAATGCGCATCAGCAGGGGCATAGCGTACCTTCACAGCGCATTGGGCTTGCAAGGTTTCGAAACGATATCCACGGAAACTGCCATCGGAATCTAAGAGCATCTCGTCTGGCGGTCCGAAGAAAGCAAACCATCCGTTGATGAGCAGCTTCATGACCTCTTCTTCGCTGCGATTGTGGAGGTAGTTGAGCACGTGGTAACACGTGGCGTCGTCCACCTGTGACAGGTAGCCATGCGTCTTGCCACGGATATCCTTTAACCACAACACATCCAAGTCGAGCCTGTCATTGAATCGTCGAGGCAAGGTCGGCTTAGCTGGACGAGGCTCCCTGGGAGGCTGAACCCTCAAGCACACTTCGCATCGAAGATGCCTGGCTGCTTGAATTGCAACATCAGAAGCACCGGCTGAGGTCAACTGCCTCACCATTGTAGCCGTGGAAGGGTGGCCAAGATTAGTGTGAAGCCGCCTCATCACTTGAAGCAACCATTTCGGCGCCGCCTGAAGACCAGGGAACGAGATGTCCCGGAAACCTGGTTGATGGGGCTTGAGCATATCGTTCTCCTCGATCTCGGTTTGCGGTTTCGTGGCAACAGCTGCTTCAGGCTTGGTGTCCTCGGTCGGGTTGAGACTGCTCGCGGGGGCCACGCCGAAGAAGAAGATGGCCATCCGCACTGGCGATGCAAACTTGTTGGCCGACTGGGATAACACCTGGCGGACCTCTTCTGCCTCGATGGAGACAGAGCCATCGCTCAGCCACAGCACAGCTCCACGGTGTGTCGCACCACCTTGAAGAACTTCCAGTGGTAAGCGTCGCTGCATGGGTGTCCGACATATCTGAATGCGATGCACCTGCCATGGAACCAGCGCCTTGAGTTGCTCACCAAAGGGTGTGCTGATGGGCATGACCTTGTCTGGCCGCACCTTGTTGCGTAGCTGTTCCTCAGCCTCGCGCAGGAGCGGCATCCATGATGACTCATGTCGATTCACATCAGCAAAATACACCGTGAAGTCGCTCACAAGCTCGCCTGGGGGCAACCACTCAAGAGAAGAAGCCGAGCATTCATGTGAGATCCACGCAGTACTTTCGGGTTCTGGCACAGCAAAACGTTCATCTCCGGCTTCTTGCAAGGAGTCACACAGACCCCGGACGACGGCCTTCGCGAGCTGCGGTGTGTAGACTTGTGAAGCAGCGGAGTCACCGCCAAGTATTTGTCCATGTTCGTGCTGATCAAGACCAGGACACTGCAAAGCCAGCTGGTCGAGCAGTCGTGGTAGATCCGAGAGCCAACCAGTCGGCTTCTTGAGCAGCGTATCGCTCTTGTCCTTGAGGCCGAACCTGCACATATGGCCGACTCGCAGCTCGCCCACACGCAGAAGTGGTTGTAGTCGTGGATGTTTCCAGAAGTCCGTGTGGGCCGGGTTCTCAATGAGGAAGTGGCCGCCGTACTCCTGGTGCGCTTCCATGATCGTCTTGACCATCTCGGAGATCGCGAGATCCTGAGCGCGACGAAGTTGCTTCAACGTCTCAACGTCGTAGTTCAGGTACTGGATGTTGGACCACAACTTGCACTCAATCTCATAGATCACGAGGAATGGCTTGTGCTTCTTGATGAGCAGTCGCAGTTGTTCGTAGGAGGCCTTGGTGCGTAGGTGGATGCCGTAGACGTCGTCGACAGGCTGTAGGGCTCGGAGACCAACTCGTAGGGCTTCACGGGTGATCTCTGCGTGACCGCCATACACCTCAATGACGTCGACCTTGTAGACCCGGGCTTTTCGAGCTTGTTCTGTTCGACTCAAATAAATCCGCGCCTCCGTGTTCCACATGCGGAGCACTGCGCTCTCATTGCCATGAACACGTTTCAGAAGTCCAGCTTTGGGCTTGAAGGCGCCTCTGTCTTCAAGATGCAGAGGCTGGTCCGCAGAGCCGGACAGTAAGACAGGAGCTCGCAAGGCGCTCAGAGCTCCTCTTCTTCCTCCGGCAGATCGGGGCGCAAGTGGTTCGGGTCGAGCTGGGAGTCCTCCGAGCCCTCCATCTGGTCGAGGTTGAAGTCCCAGTCTGTGAAACCCCTATGCCTAAGCCCGGTCCTGTCGGCCTAAGCAATGTCGAATGAGGCACCCTGACCTAAGTAACCCTATGGTCTGTCCACAGACCCCTATGAGGACCCAGCCCTGAATGTAGCCCTCCACTGCACCCCGTGCAGTTTTGGTCAAGCTCTAGCCTCTCCCTCCCACCTCGGAGCTGTCGGAAGGGCCGGCGAGGATGAAGACATGTTGGACAGCACAAGTGAACATGGGAACCTGTCGGTTTAACACTCATCGAAAACCAACTTTTTAAGTTTCTTCACTTGTGCTCCGGTGAGACTCCGGTTGAGTTCTGGCGTAGCCACTGCAGCGACTGTCTCTGCCCCGCTCTATTCTCAAGAACCTTTTGTTCGTCGAATAAGGCATAGTAACCCTCCCGTAGGTGACGTCTTAACTCGGAACTATCCATCACTTTGGTCAAACAGTCCGCTAACATGGCCTTTGAATGAACCCAGCGCATCTTGCAATTTTCTTGAAGTCTCTCCCTCAGCAACAAGCATTCCAACTGGGTGCGTAGTTCAGAACACGTAGGTACAGCAGTTTTCGTAGCTATATCGTAAGCGCTCTTACAGTCGGTGACTAACGAAGCTTGAGGCGCGTGGGAAAGGACTTCTTCCGGATGTGCGATATCAACAGCAGGATTCTTGAACCATTCCCAGAACAACCTGATCCAGGACATTCGGTCTACGGACCCACAGAGAGAAACTACCTCAGCACTCAATGTACTTCTTACTACCCTGGAGATTTTCTTACTGGACCAGGCCACAGGAATGATCACAGCTTCGCGGTTGGCTAGCATTCGCCAGTCTGTTGCCACCACCAGCGTACCCTGATACGAGTTATGGTCTTTCGACGTGGCGAAGGAAGCATCCGAAAAGGTGCAAAACGTAACATGCTGTTCTTGAATTGGCACAACCATCAAAGAGATTGGGTGAGCTTTGGCCTCTTGAAGGACACGGTTAGCTTCCAGAAGATGCTGAACCTGGCCCTTGTTGACCCTTGTCTGTAAGTAGCCTACCTTTGCAGCTAGGTCGGGTCGAGAATGCACTGCAGCATACTGGAGGCTACCGTTGAGGCGTCTCAGCTCTTTAAGTTCTTCAGGGTTCAACATCGCGGTGGGATTCACTCTACGCTCTCGGGACACATGTATGGGCACGATCTTCTCTATGTACCTCTCTTGGTCCATTTCAATGCTCCCATCGTCCCATTGGCGAAAACGAATCCCGGTGAACGTGAACTCGCCCTCATCATACGACCCAAAGCTGTAGATACCCCGCAACCGATCTCTGACCCTCCGAAAATACTCATCACCTCCCCCAATCCCGTCGTCTACGTGTATTCCCAGAACACCATGAACCTGAGCACTACCATCGGCCCTTTGTGAAACGAGGCTGAAAGCACAGGCATCGAAAGGGCTTTGCACAAAACCAAGCTCTTCAAGTGTCTTCTTAAATGTCTGAAACCACAAAAACGGAGCATCGATTCTGCCGTAAGCGCCGCCTTCGAGCTGGCATTGTTCCTGCGCCTGCATGTTGAGGGCTCTTCTTAACTCTTCAGGTGGTCTTATGCCTAGCTTTCTACCATCCCCCTCCCCCTGCAGAAAAGCAGTGGACACATCGAAGTTGATCAGTTTCCAACGGTTACTGGCCACCTTCTGAAGGATGAGTTGTCGGGCGTCCTTACCTAAAGTAGGAGCGTCATTAGGGATATCAGCAATGTCTGGGTCTTCAAACCCAAGCACCACTAGCCTAGCTTTGGCCCGTTTCGGCCCTCCATCCTTCTCGGGGCCTTTCCATGTTAGAAGCCAGCGGCAACGCATGAGTTGACTATCATCAAGGGTTCCCGCAGCTACTTTACGTACAGTCCTGTGGTCAAGCCAGGCTCGAATCTCCTTGCCCTTAGCTTCTACGAACTGTTGCCTCTCACCCTCGTTCAAGTCCCTCAATCTTACTTCAACTCGTTTCTTGCGTGCCTCGGTGGCTAACATTACAAAATGCAAAGCTTGCTGCGGCGTCGGGAGGTTTTCGAAAGGCACCTCCGTTTCATGCAAACTGATTTCCCATGCCTGTGACTGTGTGGGATGTGCGAAAAAACACTCACTGTCTCCAAACAAGAGGTCGTCTTCGTCATCTTCAGGCACAGGAATGTTCGAAGCATCTACCATATCTGTCTCGAGACCTACCGACGGCACAGGTGAGACTTCCATCTCTGGCTGTTCTCCCTCCGCATTTTCTTCAGGAACTTCAGGAACCGTACCCCCGGCCTCTATCCCAGCTACTCCTTCTGGGGCTATGGGTCCTAATGGTTCGGGAACATCCTGCGGAACCTCTCCCTGGCTCTCCACTTCTGCTCGGCTAGGTGTTCCTCCGAGAACAGCAAGGTCGACCACCCTTCTAACCCCTTGACCTACTGCCCCTTGTGAACTCTCAGCGCTGGTCTTTCCCAGCACCCCTTGCCATTCTCTCAAGGACGCGGATCGCAGCTGCTCAGGAGCTGCACGGATCAATTGCCCACAATGGCTCACCCACACTACCTTGCTATCCCCACAAATTACCTGACCCGGCCCATACCACCTTCCTTGCTCCGCACGACTCCCGGCTTTATGTCGGCGCCAGTACAGAACCCAATCGCCCGGCTCATATCTTTCACAGGGGTGCCTCGAACGACGAAGTAGAGCCCTACGGTACGAGTTGTCGTTGTCTGCATGTATGAATGCGACTCTGGCCTGTTCACGGCGCTGCAGGTCCCTCCTGAAGGAGACTCCTTCTGGCAGATCACTGTCGGCTAAAGCATGGCACGTGGCACTATTGTCGGAAATCAGAGAGGCTGGCAGCCGCGAAAGTTTACCCAGGACTGCCTGTTCAGGTGTGAAGCCCCGGACCCTACTCAAGCTGTTCTTAGCCTGCACTGCCGCTCTCAGACACCGACGAAAACCTTCGTCGTTCAGGATGGGCTCTTCATGGTCCATTTTAGAAAGCATGCTCTTCAGTATCCTACCATGAGCTTCCGTCCTACCGAGTTGCCAATGAGCCTCTCCCGCAGAAACATTGGTGCACACACCTACAGTTTGCAGCTTTAGACGCCAGTAATCACTGTTGTACTCCCCTGCTGGATCTACATACAAAGTTTGACAAGGCCCTGCCCACTGAAACCAATGATCCGATAGGAACTCCCATTGTTCTTCTGGCGTCCTACCTACTCCACTGGCTTGTTGAAACAGTGTGCCCTCATCGACAATGTGCGTAAACAGAAACTTCTTCCCCCCGCTATTGGTCCAGTACGCAACATCCATACCGATTGTGTCGTTAAAATCTCGATGCGTGTGAATTGTCGCCGGCCTAGCTAACTTTTGGGTGGGAACCGTTTCCAAGCACGTACTGCAAGAGTAGTCGCGAGCACCCTGGATGAGCGCAGGCTCGGCTTTTCGTTCTTGCAGGAATCTGACAAACGTCTCAGTGCATGGATGACCCAAATTGTTATGGAGCCTAACTAACTCCCTCTTCTCGGACTCCCCTAAAGCGAAGTACCCCGGCCCGTGCCTAGGAACCGACCGTGGAGGGTAGCCCTGAATGAGCGGTCCATCCTCAGCATCCGAGCGCGTTGTCGGCACATCTGTTGTTGTTGAGGTATTTTCAGGGTTTTGGGGTGCTTCGGGATTTTGGTCTACTCTTAAGGGCATCTGCTGATTCCGGGCTTCTTCTGCTCGAAGACCCCTGAAACTCCGCAATCTTTCAGGTGACATGCCGTAAGCTGTGAGACTGAGTTTTGCAGGAATGCCTTTACGCATCTGTTTATATCGTGGAACCTGGGACCAATCCTCTATCTCACCATCCATAGCTATTTCACCACCAACCCTTTTTACCACAACCGTCTGACGTAAAGGCATGTCCCGCGGCATTCCCTCCACACAAGGTGGCTGTATCCGGTTGGTGCCTCGACAGCAGACGACATGTTGCACAACAATCTGTGGAAGCAGTGCTTGAACTTGTTGGACTACCGGGTCCCCTTCTGAAAACCCTACCTTTCCCCCTTTCGGAACCCTCGCGTTAACATCTCGAAAAACTGTATCCCAACTTATCCTAGGAGCCTCGCTTCCAGAGATTGTCGGCCCTGGCTGTTTTCCAAACAGTCTTCGGCGCTTCAAAACTTGCTGGGCGGCAGTAATGTCAGAGTTAGAGACTCCCCGCTTTTCAACATTAAACAACAGCTCTTCTAAAGGCAGAGGAAACCCTAAGTCCTGACCTAGGTGCATGGCTACCCGTTTGGCAAGACGCCTCTCTCGTGGGAACATGCGGTTGCTTCGCCCACTGGGATCTGGACCCGCTGTCTGAAAGCGAGTGTCGACACTTTGCTGCAGTCGTCTGGACGTGGTGTACAGTGTGGTGGCTTTGCGGAGATGGTTGTTTCCTGGCGGGGTGTCTCCCACTTCCAGCTCATGAATCATTCGCAAAGTGCCCTGTTGAACCTCTTGGAGTTGAGGTGCCATTTGCTCAAAGAAACCCTGGCCACACAGGAAATGTATGTGCTTGCCTCGTTCTGTTTGGTAGCGATAAAGGTCAAGAAGAAACTGTCCTGGCCATGGTGTCTTTTTGCCCTTGTCTGTTTTGTGGTTCCACGGCTGCTGCAAATCCAACCAGAGATGTGTCGGCTCATACATTGAGATCAGCTTCCAGAGGCGATCATACATACCCCGAGCGCTCCCAAGCTTTGCCGGAGAAAGTGTTAAAGCTCTCCCGCCACATCTCTGAACGGCTGCGCAAATGGCCCCACTACCGATTTCGATGACATCAAGGGAGGGCAGACGGTACTGGCACACCGAATTTCTCACTGCATCACCAAGTTGTTCTTCGATTTGCAGGATGTACTTGTCTATTTGTGCACACATTTGTTGAACCTTGCCATGCCTCCCTTGATTGCTTGCGTCCGTTTCCATGCTTGGATCAACCCTCACTCCTTGTCGGCATCTTCGATCTCCCGAAGCCTCGTCAGCTCTCTTTCGAGCACGGCCCGGCGCGTCATGATCTCCTCCGGCGACATGGCAATGGGCATCTGCGAGCTTGCCCCCGGCGGACTGTTCCTCTTGCTGCCCCGGCTCGGTGCAGCTGTGTGGGATGTGGCATCCGGCGAGCAGAGCTTCCACCCATCGCTCTCCTCTCCGTCCATGACGGCTGGACCCTGGGACTTGATGTTCTTTGCCTCCGCCTTGGTCGTGGACCTCGCCTGCTCCGTCTTGGCCATCTGCTTCAGTCGCATCAGGGCATAGTTCTTGAACGACAGTGCCCATGGGCTGCTGAGAGAAGACTTCCGAGCCATGAGGATCGAGTAGGACAGGTCGGTCTCGAACGTTTTCTCGTGACTCTTTCCTTTGTGCTTGCCAGCCGCGATCACCACTTGGCCCCATTCCCGAAGATTCGCAATCCCCGGTGGGCGGACAACTTCCACCTCCAAGTACTTTACCATGGTCAGCTGTTCCTCGGCCAAGTGCACATCCTCCTCCGCGGAGAGAGGTTCGTCCAGATTGACCTCGGGCATCTTCTCTTGGAGCTTCTTCACGGACTGCTTGACTGAGGTGGGCATCGCTCGGTTGGAAGCCGCTCGGCGAAGGAGAAGGATATTCGAAGATTCGTGCTGTCTGCTTGAGCTCAGGCTGCCGTGTTGTGTTCTGTGGTTCCTGGAAACGCTGCTTTGCTGATTCTGGTGGAACGGAAACATCTTCTGGGGGACTGGGGACTGGACTGTTGGCTGGTGTTCCCGAGGAGGCTTCTGGACGCGGGTGCGCCCCCAGACTGTCAACAACGTAGACAGGAGCCTTCCTGTCCCCGACGTGAAGGAGATCTGACAGATTGACTATGGATAGGCCTCGCTCATCCCATCTAAGGTCTACCCTCCTAGAACCACCCAGCATTAAATACCCCTCTTTAACATGAATAACTGCGTCTAGGTCCCTGAGAAGACGATTTGATATCAACAAAGGAGTGTTTCCGGGGATCACCTCAACTCTGACCCATGTGTCTTCTGAGGTGGGCAGCAGCAGCGCAAATTTTGACGTGAGTGTCCCGCTGTTTCCAAAACGGAAGGTGACATCAGAAGCTATCTTCCTTACTCGACCGCGACACTCTGCAGCAAGACCGCTTATCACTTCTCGAACCCTTTGGTCTCCTAGCACAGTCCTACTGGCCCCTGTATCTAGCACCCCCTCAGTACCTACAGTGGCTACTAGAATTGCTTCAGGAATTATGGGACTGGGCTTGCTGCGTCTCAAAACTGCCTGCTTCGGCGCGGTGGCCGGCCCTTGCGCCTCAGAAGATGCACCCGGCGGCGCACAGCTTGGCGTCCTACATGTCCTGTGAATCATTAACAAACGTCGTGCAAGGCAAGACTCGAGAGACAAAGAAGGCCCCACCTTTGGCGCAACCATAAAGCAAGTCTCCCCGAAGTCCTGAATTACTCCAGTATTCCCTGTCCCTGTGCTAACCCCTCTCTGTGTCCATGCGCTGTCGTCCTCATCGATGTTGAAGGGCTCGGAGTCTGGCAGGGTCTGGAGAACCTCCGATTGGAAGGGATCGGTCGGCTGGATCTGGGCAAACAAGGTCGCCTCTGGCTTAGCGTCGTTCTTCGGGCACTCCCGCTTCCAGTGCCCTTTGGCCCCACATTGTTTGCAGTTGGAGTTGGCGATCCGATCTGCAAGGGAACGTCGACGGCCCCCATCCCAGGAACCATAACCCTTGCCTCTCTTCCCGGACTGGCCCTTCCCCTTCATCTTGCCCTTGATGGGCCAGAACCCCCTGGACTTTGCTTTGTCCCGCAGCTTTTGACGAGCTTCTTGGTACGAGGCAAAGACTGGGGCCAACTCACTCTCCTGCACCGCCTCCACTATCTGATCTTCAAACTCCGTGATGTAGATGGCGTCCTCGTCATTGGCCTCAAGGAAGTGAGCCAGGATGAGCTCATCGCTGAGGTCCTCGTCCTGTCCCATCGCCATGTGCACTTCCTCAAAGGTGTCGTCGTCTGTCGTCATGTGGATGTCGTAGACCTTGCTTCGATCCATTGCCTTGGCATTTCCCGGGCCACTACGGTTCTGAAAGTCTGTGAAGAACTTGGACCCCAAGAGCCGCACTGCTCGGACCGTTTCTTGGTACTTCAAGTCGCCCTTGGCTTCCACGATCACACGCTTCTTGTCCTCCGGGGCCAACAAGGAATGACGGAGAAGAACATAGGCGCGGATCTCTTCAAGGGTCACCCCACGGCTCAAGAGTTCCTCAAAGAAAGCGTCGTGTCTGGCAATGTACGAATCGTTACTCTCGTCCGCCTTCTGTTGCGTCTGAAAGATGGCCTGCTCAAAGAAGTGGTATCGCTCCTCCACTGTGGTCTTTCCCCAAGACCCGCCCAGCGACTCCACAAGGTACTTCACACCATCCGGTCCTCGCAACTGCTCGGGCTTGATCCGGCTCACCTTTTGGAAGGCGGCCCCCTCCACCAAGAGGGCTGCCCGGGGAGCCAACAACGACAGATGCTCGGCTGGCCACAACTCTTTGAGAAAGCGAAGCCGTTGAGAGTACTCGTCCACGCTTGTCACCCCTGGCGTAAACTTCGGGACCTGCTGCCACGGGAGATGGCTCACACCTCCGGTGGCTCCTGCCGCTGCTTCAGCCGTTCCTTCTGAAGCTTGCGCCATGGCGCCGCGCCACTCCCATCAACAAAAACTCCCTGGAACCCCCTGTTTACACTAACTCCTAGCTAGCGACAGGCCGGGCTCCGCTACCAATGAGAAACCCCTATGCCTAAGCCCGGTCCTGTCGGCCTAAGCAATGTCGAATGAGGCACCCTGACCTAAGTAACCCTATGGTCTGTCCACAGACCCCTATGAGGACCCAGCCCTGAATGTAGCCCTCCACTGCACCCCGTGCAGTTTTGGTCAAGCTCTAGCCTCTCCCTCCCACCTCGGAGCTGTCGGAAGGGCCGGCGAGGATGAAGACATGTTGGACAGCACAAGTGAACATGGGAACCTGTCGGTTTAACACCAGTCCTCCTCGCCCCACTGTTCCTCCCACTGATTCTCCTCGTCCTCCGGATCCGGCACGTATGCTTCGGCCCAGTCCAGGTCCGAGTTGTAGACGCCCGTTCCCGTGCTCATCCGGTCGCTGTCCGATCCACGCCATTGCCTCCGTTGCTGTGTGAGGGAGATCTCTGGAGGCTGTGGGCGAGTCTTCGGCTGAGCTTTCGCCCGGGGAGGCATAGCCTGGGAAAGCTCCGGGGAGTTCGATCGCCGTGGTACCTGAGGTCGAGGTCGTGGCGCAAATCCCCGCGAGGAGGTTGAGAAGCGCGGCAAGGAGCCTTGGGACTGAGTGCTTGCCGCTGAACTTTGTTGTCCTTGCTTGTGACCTCGAAGGTCGTTCAGCACGTGCTCTGGCAGGTTGAGCGGTGTCTTGGCCGACGGAGATGCCTTTGGAGTTGCCAAGATGGCTGTGCCCGCCCGGTTGAGCACATACCGCGTCCCGCACAAGTCGCATATTCTCACCCGAACTCCTGCTGCTCCGTAAGCTCGAAGTCCGGACTGATGCTTGCACGTCTCGGGGCTTCGAAGATACTTGGTTCCCTGCAGTGATGCCTGGGCTGCTAGTGCCGCCGTGGTCGTCAGCAAGGTGGTTGCACTGCTTGGGATGCCGAAGATGCGCAACACCGAGTCCTTCAATGCCGGACGCAGAGTCGTCGCCGAGTAGAGCAACACCATATTCTTCACATGGTTGATGAAGGTCAGGAGGCCCTTCAGCACGTGTCGCCAACGCACCAGCCATTTCGGGGGCGGTGGCATGAGGAATGGGCTTTGCCGGGCAGTCGATGACCTTCAAAGAGCTTGAACTCTCAAAGCTCGACGGATGGATGATGTCGGGCAAGTGCTCGGGCACCTCAAGAGGGGGCCAGTCAAAGGTTTGGGGGCCCCATTCGTCCAATCTCACAGCAAGATGGCCACACGGAGACAGCCAAAGCTTTGTAGTACATGCCAAAGCTCGAAAGTGAATGGTGCCAGCGTACACGTCAGGGACAGCTCCTAGTGCTTCGAAGGCTTTACGGGACATGAGAGCGGGAGCTTGGGCCTTGACTGAACTGACACACAAGACCAAGTGATGCCCGCCCAATGCCGCAGGGTAAAGGAATCGTCCCTGACTCGGTAAAGCTTCACCAGGCCCGAAACTGAATTTGCAGCTATCAGGATATTCAAGATGTTGAAGCGGGGATATCTCGCACTGCTTCTGGTGATGCCAAGCTTCACCTGCAACCTGTCGCTGACATCCTGTATCTGCTATCATGTATGCGGAATTCTGACCCTGACAGTACTGCAAGAGGATGCTGGGAGCTTTGTGGAGCTTGACCTCAAACTCTTCGAGGGACGGGAGCTCAAAGACATTTTTCTCAGCACAGACGGGGTTCATCTCGCTCTCGGTGACACCGACCATCCATGTGGTGGACACCGCGCCTTCGGCGTCGAGAACAAGTCCATCCACCGTGGCACTGGCCAACTGGGCATTCTGCACACTGTACGTGGGACAGTCACGAAGCCAGTGATCTGCTGATCCACAGCCCAAACACAGACTGCCTTTCAAACGCTGCTGCTGAACAGCAGCATCGCCCTTGCCTTTCCCTTTTGGAGAAGACTTCGATCCTTTGCCAGCAGACTTGCCAGGGGTACGGAAGGCGGAAGACTTGCCCTTGCCCTTGCTCTTGCCTTTGCCCTTGCTTCTGTTCTTGCCTTTGCTCTTGCCGCCCTTGGAGTCGGGGTTGTAGAAACCACGAGCCTGCACCAGACCTGCAAGCTTCTGGCTTGTCACCGTCAGAGCTTGGGCCACAGCAGCAAGCTCGCTGATGCCTTCGTCCTCACCACCGCGATTAACATCGACATGATGCTCGATGTGGTAGTCGCCGAGGTTCTCGTTCCACTCATACTGCTCCGGCAAGACATCGTCGGGGTCGACCTCGGCATACTCAGCATCCTCATCGATCGCGGCGAGGTTGCCGTCCTGGCCCTCATCGCCGAAATCAGCTTCATCCCAAGTCTCTTCCCAAGGAGCTTCATCCTCTTCGCCATCGCCTTCTTCCCAGGACGTGTTCCATTGTCGCCAGGGTCTCGATGTCGTACCTCGCGCCCTTGATGTTCTGTTCGAAGATGTAGAAGACGAAGACGTCGAACGGCCGCCTCGCCCGCGTAGTCCACGTAGGTCGCTGCGGCTACGAGGGATGCCAGTCAATGACATTCCAGCAGGGTACTGAATCTTCAAGGCGTCCAGCACCGGGCGAAGTTCATAACGATTCCCTGCAGCAAGTAGAACCTGTGAGGTGGCCCGCTCGTCCAGACGTAGAGCATCCAGCAATTTCACGACTCGAGCAGCTTCAGGGTATGCAGGAACATGAGCCTCTTGAAGACGCCGTTCCAAAAGGCGGAAACGACGTATGAAGGAGGCCACACTCTCGCCCTGAAGCCTTGACAAGCTTTCGAACTCTCGGATGACTCCGCCCTGGCGAAACAGCTCCTTGGCACCGAAGCTGGCCTCCAGGTCACCCAAGAGGATGTCCACGCCGTTGTCCACGTTGTACCTGGAGTCGTCAACTTCTTCCATCTCGATCTCAGCCTCTCCACGAAGACCTTCGAGAGCTCGTAGGGCTTGTTCGTTTGCTGGCAAGTATTCACGAGTGATTTCCACCCAGCGGCTCAAACGACGCCTGTAGTGTCGAAAGCAAAAGGGGTCACTCTCGATGTCACCGTCAAACGCCGGGGGTGCAGGAATTGCACCAGATCGCCATCTCTTGCTCGCTGCCGGCTTTCCCGTAGAAGAGTTGTCGCGAGCAGAACACTGCCGCGCCTGCACACCACCACGAGAGCCACGCTTTCTTCTCGAAGAGGCACTCAGCGTCTGCAGCGTAGACAAGGAGTTCGCACCTGCGCCTGAGCCGGCATCGCCGTCTCCAAAGTCGCCAGGTGCAGCGCCAGCGCTCATGCCCTCTGCGCCCTCATGAAGGTCAAAGTCCAAGAGGTCGTCATCGAAGTACATGATCGCTGCCTCTGGCACGGCGCTGCCAGACGGCGCTACCAATGTGATTCTATCCCGTAGCAGAGCCTGGACCTCCAGCGCACATAGCAAAAGGCAGCTATTCTTTTGGCTCTAAGCTGCGCAGTCCCTTCCCCTGTAGCCGTCATGGAGCGGCGAGATACAACGTGGCACCTTCAACGGAATGCTGATTTAGCACTCCGAACCGACGAGCAACCCACGTCATCCAGCCTGCCGACGCCCAGCGCCGTTTTCCCCTCCGTGCTGGCGCTGACGATGCCGGCGGGGGGCCGGAGGGCTCCCGAGGATCGACCCCCATGGTCGACTGATCCACATGGTCCGGCAGCAAGTTCCGCACCGGTCTCACGGCCTTGGCTTTTTCCTTGGATTTGATCTTTGGCGTCGGCTTCATCTGCACCATAGCGGGTCCCTTGGCTGGAGCCTCTGACATCGAAGGATCCGTTTGGAATTCCCTCACCCCAGTGTGGGACGACGGTGCCTCCGCCGCTTCCGTCTCTTCCATGACGTACTCCATCGAAGGAGATGAGGTCGAAGGGTCCACCCTTGCCGAATCCAAATCCAGATCCATCTCGTCCCCTCCAGTGGACTCCGCCTCGGCATACGTTGCCTGGAGCTCCTCTCGGAGATCCTGTGGAAGCTCTATGCCGTGCTGCGCGGCGTTGGCCTCCAACAATATCAGTCTCCTGCGTCTCACCCCCTGGCGCATGCCTTCCAACTCTTGGATGCTTCGTTGCATCGTGGCACTCGGATCCATAGCGGCGGTCTCCTATCTGTCCTACTCTAGGAAAACTTCGCCTCTTTGAGCAATCCAAGCTGCCAATCTCAACCTCATCAGGGAAATCCTCCAAGCAAGCACGACAGACAACTGTTTCCCTACCATGCTCATGCACAAGACGCTCAACTGCTGGTGTGGTGCTGTTGTCCTGTTGCTTGTGTGAGATAACGCTGCTGTCATTTTCAAATACAAGCCGCTCGACTGCTGGTGTGGTGCTGTTGTCCTGTTGCTTGTATGAGATAACGCTGTTGTCTTCACTAAAAATCAAGCGTTCATCCCTATCAAGCTCACGAACAACTGGCGTATCCACATGACTGAAAAACTGAAGTTGATCCCTCGCAGGGCCGGAAACGATGTCTGTCCTTAGCTTCGCCTTGGTCCAGGTCAACATGTTCGTGGCTCGTCTGAAACTCGCAATCAACTACCTCATCAAGACATGAAACATCCAGCAATTCGGGGTTTTCGGGCTCAACACACACTCTCGCAGAGCTGCGATGACCTCGATTCGAAGTCGAACGATGAAAATCACGACTCGAAGACGACTTGCGAGACCGACTTCGACGAAACTGTTCCGTTTTGGCGATCAAATCCTGCGGTTTCAGCGCTAAAGGATGGTCATTCCGAACTGACGCAAGCCAACTAACTGAAGCAAACATGGTTGGTTTCAGCGTTACGCCGTGCTTTCGGACGGTAATTACGCCCTGCTGGCCGCACATTGCTGGCTCCCAACCTCCATTCTGACAAAGCAAGTTGATGTTCAGCAAATTGTGCTTGATCTGATCGGAAATGACGGCTTCAAACCTAGCCCTACACATGTACACAGCGTCACCCTCATGCTCAGAACTGCTCTTCAGTGATGCTGATGTGGTGGTTTCAAAGCAAACTTCCACCAAAACATGTGTCGATCCGCCAATCTCAACGGAATCTCCTGTCGCAGTCTCCGCATACGACTTCGGGCGTCCTTCAAGCCATGCAAGGACCTTCACATGATCACTCTCAAGCGTCTCTCTCGTGATGATGTGGAACGAACTACCAGAGTCAATCAGCCAGTAAATGCGATCATCTGAAGGAAAACTAACCACTTGGTTCGTGAGCATCATACCAAAGTGATATCCCTCCAGAAACGTCTTGATTGATGACTGTGCTTTTCCACTACCCTTGGTTGTGGGCTGCGCTGCTGCTTTCGCCGAAGTAGACGATGAAGATGATGGTGCCTCTGGCTGCGTCGTAACGGCCTGGCTCGTCGCCGCTGCGGCTTTGTCCTTCGGAGGTGCCCAGCAGTCGCGTGCCCAGTGTCCAGTCTTCCCGCAGTTCCGGCAGACATCTGTCTTCTTCGCTTCTCTGCTCTTGCTCCGAGCTCTGTCTCCTTTTCCGCCTTGGTCACCTTTCTTGTCCTTTCCTTTCGCTTTGCCACCCTTCTGTCCCTTTTCTCCTTTCTCGCCTTTGTTGCCTTTGTTGCCCTTGGGGCCTTTGTTGCTCTTGTCTCTGTCGCCCTTTCCGCCTCTGCCACCCTTGAAGGCATTCGCATACCCGGATGCTCCTTCTCTCTGGAAGTCCATCACACGAAGCTGCTCGTCGTAAAACTGCAAACCAGTCATCAGCTCACCCATGCTCTTTGTTGAGTGATGGAGGAGCAGATATCTCTTGGTCTCAGAATCCAAGTGCTTCATCAGGCACAGGACTCCCTCTTGTTCTCCGATGAGCAACTCCGGGAAGCGATGCTTCACCTGCGCCTCGAACTTGAGAAGCTCGGTGGTGTACCACCTGGCGACATCAAGTGGTCGCTTGAGATGCTTTGGTGGCACCAGGCCTAACGCCTGTTCGCGGAGGGCCTGTCCCTCCACTCTGGAGCGAACTGACAATTCGTTGTTCAACGAGCGCCAGAGTTCGTATCCGGCACTTGCTCCCATTTGTTTCACCTCGATGAGATGCACCAAATCTTGCCCACGTTGGAACTTGCTCATGGACTGACGAAGCAAAAACCAAAGTTTGGTTGACCGGGCTGCTTTCCCGGCTTCAAGCCTCACTTGCAAGACTTCCACATTGCTACTGATCGCTTCCTGCAATTCCGTAGCGTAGCGGTCGTCGAGCAAACAAAGCCAACTCGTAAGTTCGTCTCTGTAGGCTGTCCAAACTCGGATTTCAGCATGTCTGCTCGTCATAGACGCATAGTTCAGCTGAGGCAACTGTGGAATGTAACCCTCTGCTCTCTTGTTTCGTACACCAGAGTCTACTTCCATGTCCACAGGAGTCGATGCATTCGCAGGTGCTGCTGAGGGGTCTCCTCCAGGTGTAGGACTCGTCGACGACGAAGCTGCAGCTGCTGCAATATGCGCATTGGCAGCATTCGCACTTGCAAGCTGCAATGCTTGCGTAAGCATGGCACTCATCTGTTGAAGTTGAGCTGCCTGCTGTCGGATCTGCTCGTCCTGCGCTTGCAGCATTGCTCTCGTGAACTCCATCTGTTGAGCTACTCCAGGTGCAAAGGGCAACTGCATTTTCGGAACTTGAAGGGGTTCTTGTGGTGCTGTCTGAGGGGGTGTTCCCATCGGGTAGAACTGAGGTCCAAACGAGGGCACAGCCCCGACTGGTGGCTGATGGCCTGCTCCAGTCGTAGCTGTCCACTGCCTTGGGTCTACTCCGCGTGGAACTGAAGCTGGTCGCGCTGGCAAAGACCTTCCACGTTCTCTTCTCCCACGGGCACTTGGTGACCTTGCACCAGAAAGCCCTGTGGAACTCAGGCTGCTTGCACTGTGGCCTCTCGGAGAACGGTCTCGTCCAGGCACACGTTCTTCACCAGTGTCCATGCTGGAGCACGAATACACTTAACCCTCACAGCACGAAGTGCGGACTCTTTCACTGCGCTGTTCACAGCTTCTCGAGCTTCGCTCGTCTTAAGCCAATGCGAGCACGGCTCTCCAGCTTCAAACATGTCTGCCAGACATGGGAAAACAAAGGTACTTTGGGTGAAAACACTCAGCCATGGAACTTCAACTTCTAAACACTGTGGGAGGTTCCTAGCACCTCTTAGGTGCTCTGCTGAGCTCTGTGCAGACCTAAACTGGCTTGAGTCACTTCTGGTCACCAAACACAGGTCACAAACAGGAAACGAGTTCCGACAAACGAGTTTTGAGAAAACGAACAGAAAACGGTAAACACTTCAAATGCTACACTGTTAGAAGGTGTGCCACCTTGACAGCCGCTCCACTTGCTACAACCTTAGAGGATGTCTCTTAAATCTACAAATTAGCCGCTTCAAACACACCTTTAGAGCGATGTTCATAACACAACAAAACCAAGAGACAAAACAAACACGATAACAGAAACCTGATTAAATTCAAACAAGTTCAATCAACGATCACTTCAAAAAAACAAAGTTTTTTGATTTTGTCTTCTAGACACCAGACGTTTTTTTGTTTTTGAAAATGTTCTTTACCATTTCAATTTGTCCAAAACTTCTTCTTTTAAATTTCATTTGCATTGTCTGACAGAAAAAGCATTAACAAATTGTGTCTAAATGTTTTTTATCAGAATTTCTTATTTTTTTTCAAATTGAAAAATCTGTGTCTGTCCTTCACATTGCCTGAAGGGGGCGGGGCGGAGGCCCAAATCGCCCTCTTTTGGCCAATGTGAGGGAGGGAGGGAAATGACTCTGAAGAGGAGGGAGGTTGGGCATGCAGAAACTCTGCCCATTTTTTTTTTTACATTTTCTAACTGACATGAGAATTCAGATCGCCTGACCTTTTCTCTATTAAAGCGGATTGAGCATTTGCTTCTTTTGATTTGATGCATTTTGATTTGCAGCAATGTTGGATCATGGCAAGAACTGCAATCAGCGCTCGGTGGGAAGCTGGGAGACAAGTGACCATGGGATCTGCAGGAGTGCAGCAGCATTTTGAAAGTCGTGGATCCAGCTTATCCTTGCCATCAAGACCGTGCACGGATCCTCGTCAAGAGAGTCCCGAAAGAAAACGAGGTCGCCAAGCAAATTTGTCCAGATCTTCCTTGTGGACACGCTTTTCACTTGACGGAATTCTTTGTTCGACTCCTGCTGAGCTCTTGGAGATGTGTGTTGACTTGGGCTTGATGCATGATGGTCGACTTGATCCGTGTGAATGGTGCGAAGAGACCAATTGGCGGATTGAAGGAAAGAGAGACCATGCCTCTTACAGGTGCAAGAAAAAAAATTGCAGATGCTCAAAGTCTG